GGGGTACAAGGTAAGGGGGTGGGCGGTCGACGGCCGCCGTGTTAAGAGCGTAAAGAAAATCGACGCTAAAGGCAATGCGTTTCCGCGATCCACCTCGAGCGCTCTCTCTCACCTATCTCTCTTTCTCTCTATCTATTTAGCTCCCTTTCTCCCTCTTCCCGTCGTCGCCGAGAAAGGAAGAGAAGCTTCGTCCGCCGGCACATGCCTCGCATACAATCGCGCACCTCCACGCGACCGCATGCGTTCTACATGCATTGGCACGACACGCATGCGTGCTCGACGTCAATCATACATTGCGATGCTCTTTCGTTCTCTCTCTCTCTCTCTCTCTCTCTCTCTCTCTCTCTCGCGCCTTCCCGTCCGCGTTACCGCATCTTCGAGTTAACGATTTGCAAACTCCAGCCCCTATGCCATCGAGTAATTAACATCTGCGGGCACGCACGAAGCGAGATCTCTCGATAGAGATGGTAAACGAGGATGGCAACGACATATTTGTTATATTTATTAAGAAAGTAAAAAGATCAAATTTAAATGTAGAAAAAATGTAGAAATGTAAAAGAAAGTAAATAGTGTAAATATCTATTAAAGGCATTCCATAAAATAATAAGCATAATGTAAATAGAAAAGAGTTAAGTAAGAAATCAAACGAGTAAAGAAAGAATAGAAGATTTCATATTAATTTCAATATGCTGATGAAATAATAGCTCAGCTATGTAGCTAGATAAAAACAAGATAGTTTGAACAGAAGAAAATAGCTTTGTTTTTTCACGATGAAGTTGGTGTCTCCAACGGGAGTAAAAGACATGATAAGAAAGATCGTTAAAATAATCTGTGGCGAGATATCTGATATGATACGTATATCAGCACGCTTGGTACGCTGTACCGGTCGACCTTTCTTCGACGGACATCGAGCTAATTTAAGAGCTATACAGTTTTAATCATCTGATAAAGCACGAGGAGGGACGCGCTCGAGCGATTAACGCGGCGGCGGAATTATGTCTGTGTCCGGTTATCCCCATTGCGTCTCAAAGGTCGTCGTAGCGGCTTGTCGAGGCGCGATAGCGAATACGGGCGAATTACGTTTCTAACGAGATTGTACGATTTGGCAACAATGAGCAATCATGGATATAGTATATGCGATAAGCGGACGAATCTTCGTCTTCCGATCTCGAAGCACTCGAGGCGCGATCCAGTAAATCTCTTGCTTTTTCTGCTTCGTTTGCTCGCATCGAGATTCACAAGGAACGTTCGTTCAGTTCTTTTTCGTGCGCTCCACGTCGTTCTCATCATCGTCGTCTTCGTCGTCATCTAGGCTCGTGCTGCCGGGACGGGGCTTCTTGTCGGGGAAACGACGTCACAAGGGGGGTGGAATGGAAAATTCCCTCCGCACGTAGAACAGAATGTAAGGCTTACATTTAGCAACAGCGTCGGTAGTTGCGGGCCGCACCGAGCTGTCGTTAAAATGGAACCACTGGCCGTCATGCACGGCAAAGGCAGTGTAATGTCCAGTACCAGCACTGTAACACATCATTTTACAATGTAAATACAATTATCGATTAACACTCCTTTTCGTTAAAGCTATGCACATTTCTGAAATTGAAAGTGAATTCGACTGGACACATAGCGCAAACTGGTTCACGTTAAATTTTTTGCATTTTACTTTTACATTCAGATTAAATCAATGTACAATACAAGGCTTTAATACGTACTAGTACGTTCAATCGAATTCGCTAAATAAGTTTCAATTTCAAACGTATATTTTTGGAATATTTAATCAATAACTAACTGATAAAGTGAGATGTTCAAATATATACAATTAAAAATTGATTGTCTGGGATAGAGAGAGAGTTACATCAATGATTTGTTTCAAGCTATTCTTCAAACTGGTATGCCAATACTAGTTTCACAATTCCTTATTCAAATATAAATTTGTAATACCGTAATGTGTGCTAAAACCTAGATAACAGTTTGGAGAAATCATCGATAATGAGTTGACTGTAGAACGTAACAGTAGAAATTTATTTATTTTCGAAATTAAGTAAGCGATATTGCAAATATTGCAGCGCAATTTAATAATCGTTAAATACATTCAAGAGAAACGGTAAAAGTAATATTTCAAAATATAAATTATGTAGGAGACAATGCTATCTTATCGTATATCAACGTTGCGCGTTAGTTGCTGCTATTACGGGGAAAGTTTCGACATGTTTCCATCGTCGGGTAACCGGTTTAATTGGAAGCGTTGTCAGCAAGGGGACGTACCCAGAACCATGGTGCACGATAACGGCAGCCAAGTCGTAAAGATGACTATTCTGAGCGCCCAATCTCGTCCCGGTCACGCCGCGCACGGTGAACGCTGACATGTCGAGAGATTCCATCGGGAAATCCACCTGCGTGTCCACCTTCGAGCGATAGGAATTGCACCACCTAAATCTTTTAATGTGAAGGCACAACACCTGTGGAAAGAGCAAAAGCATCGATTAGCGCGTCATACGTCAGACTTATTTCTCTACTCGATCAAAGTTCTCTTTTCGGGTCACGTTTAATTCACGCGAACTATATCGATCGGAACACGCACGTCCACGAATAAATTAAACTTACTAAACATTTAGCAAAATTAGAACGACGTCGAAAAAATCGATGCACGTTAGAGAAGAGAAGTGGAGGCAAAGAAGATTTTTTTAAATTAAGGATTTTAATTTTTTTCGGAAAAATTGTAAGAATTCCTTTGCGTTGAAATTTCTCGAAAATAAAATGACAACTCGAATTAATTTTATTTTTATTGAATGCATTGTTTCGATAGATACGATACTCACGTTAGGCAGCCTGTGTATCCAGAACCTCTTGGTAGACCTCTGCTTGCCCATGCAGTTGTCGCAGAAGTAGAGCTCGCTGTCGGCCAGCTCTTCAACTTTAAAGAATCTCGTCAGACTGTAAGTCAAACTGCACACTTCCTCCTGCTCCTTCGTCCTGCTTCTCTGCAATCGGTCCGGTATGTCCAGCGAAAGGTCCTGGAAAGGCTCGTGCGTCTTCGAGTCCGTACGACAGTTCATACAGTGGACCTGCGCGAGGAAACGCGATCCATAATTCGTCCGCGCTTCTCCCAAGAAGAAAACGAAGAAGAACGTGACTTTGGCAAGCGACACCAGTCTCTCGAGAGCGCAGAAATTCCCTCCTGTGCCAAAGAGGCTGCGAGGACGTTCGTTTCGCACGCAATCGAGACTCGCTGTCTGGCGATCGGGTCGTTCAACTTACCACGCTAAGAAGAGTGCCTCCAAACACGGCAGTGACAATACTCTGTTTGCCGCGCAATCCTAGAGGCTCGTGTCCCAGCCTGGGCAGCAACTGTAGCAGCTCGGTGTGCAGCCGGTCGAGCATGTAGGTGAGAAATTCATGGGCGTCCTGCTGCTGGTAGCCCCGAAATCTCGGCACGACCTTCCAGATGGCCAGGAACAGGCACTCGGGCGATATCGCTTGGCCATTGGAACCGCCCAAGCTTAGACCGAGTAGCACCTTTCGTAGTTCCTCGGCGAGGAGAGCGTCGCTCATAGACATCTCCTTCGCGCGACCCGGCGTTACGATGCGGCCGCGGTGCGTCGGCGGCCCCGTAGATTCGTCGAAGGCGATACCCTCGAGACACGGCATCTGCGTGAGATACTCGCAGAAGTGGCTGATGTTGTTGAAGGATTGCAGCACCACGTTCATGAAGCAGGTGTTACCGAGATTTCTCAGACCGACGACCTTTTTCTCTTTGGTACTTTTGGAGCTGCGACGCTTGGCCGGCCGATTATCCGCGCTACTGGCGTCCAGCGAGTGTAACCTCTTGCGCGCCGTCCTCGGTCGTAAATTCCTCACGACCACCTCTGCCTTCCACAAGGCGTCCGGATCGTTGTCGTGATCATCCCCGCCGTCGTCCCGCGTTCTCGAAGACGGCGGTGTCGTGGGCGGTGACGTGCTCCAACTTTCATCGTTCTCCTTGTGCTCGTCCTTACGAAAGGTGACGCGTCGTATCTTCTCGATCTGGCCATTCGTCGTGTCGTTCACCACGTATTCGTCGCAAGTGTAACTGGAAGAAGCGAAACACGAGGCATGCAGTTTTTAGAATAGAAACCAATCGCATTCATGTTCGTATTACGACACACGAAGAACTCTATATTTCGATCTATTAATAAACTTATTGATTTATTCATAAATAGATATCATTCCCTTATTTCAAAAGTGACATAATTTTAAGAATTAAGTTTTTCCGAAAAGAGGAAAATTTTGATATCCCACAAAATTATAACAAATCCAGAATAATTTATCAAAAGTGACATACTTCGTAAAATCACCAATAGTTTATATTTACTTTAATTAGCTAAAATGAAGCTCAAATTCAAAATTAAAAAATTTTATCTTCAAACTTCGATCACCAAAACTGTCTTAACTCTAAACGTTCTTTTGTAAAAGACTCTCCTTTTTATTTACAAAAATGACACAACTCAAAATATGTCACTCTCGTAGAAAATATGATCTTTTTGAAAATCTCAAGTGTTACATAGATTACGAAGTTTACTTTTAATGATTGATATAGAGTGATTAATTCATTCATGTTAGTAACTCGAAAAGCTAATTTTTTTTAGTTGTGTTACTTTTACAATAAGGGAATGATAAATTTCGCGACAACTGCACGTGTCTTGTCGTGTCAGAAATCCAGCTCTCCGAAATTATATACTGGTTTCGGTAGGAGAGAGATACGCGTGGACAGTAGCATACGAAGACGGTGAAAGCGAAGGGATGTAAAGAAAAGACTCACCAGAATACTGCCAAGCTCTCACAGTCTATGCACACGCAGTGCTGAGTATTAGTCTCGTAGTGCTGCAACGCGTGGCCTGCCACGTATCGTCCGCAGTGCACGGATCCGCAGTGCAGACAGAGCCAGGGACTCTTCTCGGTGCCGCACACTATGCACGATAATAATATGACATGTGAATGACAGTCGCAAAATAAGCTCAATCGACGCTGTATTATCAATAATGAAATAGATAAATCAGCATGTCACACATGCGTGTAAGTGTGCGGAGACTAAACCCGTGGTTTTATTTCACTTTATTTTTATTGAAAATAAAGTTTTACAATGTATACTAAAAAGAAGTTTCACAACGTGTACTAAATATAACAAATCTGAATTAACGGAATTTATTATGTGTATGTTAACGGTATCTTCTTTGTTATCATCAATTTCCTGCATCGAGATAAATATATTAAACAAATAAATAAATATATTAAAAATTTTATTCATGTATCTCAAAAGGCATTTATTGCAAAGGTATTACATACTCTCGTAAATGTAAACAAATGTGAAGCTGGTAGATTATAGGATGTTGATGGGAATACGGGTGGGAAAGTTCAATTACTTTACGATACTTTATTTAATATTAATAAATTTGTGTGCGCTGTATTAATAGCAATATCCTAAGATATTTTATGAAGGATTATAGCATGCAAAAATATAAAGAGTAATTGTTACATGCTGCGCTTCTATTATTACGAATGTCATTTTAGTCTTATATCATCGGTTAACGCTAAATGTGACCACTTTATTATTACCACAAATAAAATGAAGTCAATCTTTTTATAGATAAAAGTCGATATGGAATGTGATTAGATTAACGCTAAATATATACCTCTATAAAATTACCTGTTTCCAGAATTTCGATGTGATTGATAGAGAGTTGTAATTTTTCTCTACAAAGAGTCTCACACTTTAAAAAGACTTCTGGCAATTAAGTGAAAATATAAGAATCTTTAAAGATACAGGATGCTGATATTATATGACAATTCATCATATTTGTTTACTTTTAGAAAAAAAATCGATTTGTGTTCTAATATTTTTAAATAATTCTTGTTGCCTTTAGCAAAATGCTAAATATCTGCAAAAAATTATGGAGGCTTAGAAAATTTCTATCTGTTAAATAAAAAACCACCGAATTTTTTCGTATCAATTTCAGAATGACTTTTCAAGAAGGCATTCGCAGAAATATCGTCAGATATTTATAAAAAAAAATCTATTACCCTCTCTTGACAACTTTTCTCTCTGGAAAATTTTCGCTGGAGTACCGATACATTGCCAGAAATTTTCATTTTTGTTTCCAATCTCTGTCTCAAATATTAATCACAAGAAATTTTCAAAAATTGTAGAACTCTTTATAAATTTTTGAAAAGAGGCCAAAAAATTTTTGTTAAAACTATATAAAAATTCCAACAATAGAACTTTACAGAGGTGCTAAACATGGCGCTAGTAACGTAAGTTTTAGCCGTAATAAGCTTTCAGTGGAAGATATATTACTCTTTCTTAAATAATTATTAACAATCTAACATAATTGAATCGACAACCATCCAGTCGCAGGGTATACTATATCTGGTAGTTGCGAAAGTGCAAGTCGGCTTTGCCATGTCGTTTCGGCTCATCTTACGTAATTCTCGAGAGACCGCGTAAAAGCGGGGTGCGGTGGCGAACATGAGTTCGACACACCCCCCTTCGCAACCGATCGATCGCAAAATGTCTTAGAATTTCATCGGGCTTCAGATTCCTGGTGATTTGTGTTAATAGGAATTTTATCCAGAAAACACGATTTTTGAACTTATTTTTGCGAATAAAAAAAAGGAGCCAAGTCTCGAGTAAGTTTTATAATTGTGTAGATTTATATAGTTTTATAATTGCAAGATTTAGTGTTACAGCAAATATATTTTTGACGATTGTCGTATCTATCCTGTAAAAGTACGTATCATAATTAAATGAAAAAAAAAGTAATAATTATACAAAACAAGGAGATTAGAAAAGAGCAATAAATCACATAATAATAAAAATCACGCAATTCAAAGAATTAATTAAGACAATAATTAAATCTTTATTATTATTAAGGCAATAATTATATTTTTTGTGTAAATACGGATATAATTCTTATGTGAATTACAAGAGATAAGCGATTGTAAAATTGAAAAATGACGAGTGTTAAGAACTGGATGACTGGAATCCACTGATTCAGAACATCGGAAGGCAGTAAATCCGTCAGCGCTTTACATATGCAAAGCATATACAGACGTATTCAAATTTGCATTCGAAACCTGGCATAATATCTCTTTGAATTTTTCCCAAGGCGGTCGCGTTATCTCAGCATTCGCAAACAACGTCGTGATCTTATACAACAGGGTGAAAAAAGGAGACACTTCTCTAGAACGGAATTTAACAAGCGCAAATGTGAAAAGTGAAACGCCGAAAGTCCGTTCACGGAAATCCGATCTCGCTGAAGGTCGTTCCTATTTGAGGAGTCACGTTCCTTTTCGATGCCGATATAGGAAGCCTTAGAACAGACCGCAGTGTTCTATCGGCACGTTTTAATCAGCGACCGTTGCCATGAGAATCTCGTGGCAAAGAATAGGAAGGAGTGAAATCGAGTAGGTTTAGTTCGCGATAAAATCACACGTGGAGTGACAGTTTCCCAAGATTGTTGGAGTAAAATATCCTTTTAAAACTGCATTAATTCATGAATATATTTCAAGTAATGATCATTTTTCATTAGCCAAAAAGATAATTTTATTATTAGAAAATATATCACTATAAAACTACACATAATTATTTGAAATAACTTTTGCAATATCATTAAGATAAGCTAGTTAATATTGCAAATATATAAATTATATACAGCAGAAAATTATAACTCTCCCTACTAAATCTTATCGTTCAGATTATATTGCGCAATGCAATGGTATATATTAATCTTAAATTAACTTTTCCTATATATAGGTACACACATATATATATATATATATATTTAATTATACTTACACATTATAATGTATATTAAGAAGCATGATTTAAAAGAAACTAATTTAGCTGATTAAAATTAGTTTACCGAACAGAGGATACAAATTACTTTATATCATCAAATTATGATTGACATTTCTTATATCCGTGTACGGATAAAAAATGTTGTTTGGCACAACCATTACTGCTGATGTCTGCCAGAAATCGCTGTCGTTGGAATGACGTGGATGACATGAGATACGGTGATGTTGCTCAGAAACGTTCAATGTGTCATCGTAGATAACGAGTAACATAACAAGGAATGTTATCATTCGAAAAAATGCATAAAATTTTACAGTGATAGTACGCAATGTCGTTCGTACAGCACATTCGTTCATTCATTCAATGTCCGCTTGTTCAATAAAACGAATCTAACAGATCCTCGTGCACGCGGATGTTCCTCGTGGATTGTTAGAGTAACTATTATTACGAACAATGTAACGATGATGAACAAGAGGGAAGTGATTAAATAACAAAATCTTATTACTTATTCAAGTGCGAATATCTTGTTTCTGCTTCATCATTTTTCAGTCGAGAGAGTCGAGTTCAAAGAGATACTAGCAGTCGCACGTTAAAAAGTAACAACGAGTACTTGTTTAAAGCATTTGAAATTAATGGAAAAATCTTTTGTTAAAGTAAACTTTAAGGTTTTGAGAAAAAGCATATGTAGGAGGTTGTTTAATAATAATTGAAGCTAAATAAAAAAATTTTGCTTTTGGATATAAAAAGTTTTAAATTTATAACAAAGCAATACATACTTTTTGAGAAAAAAATTACGCATAGGTTTAGATAAAAGGATTATTTCGGAAACGATAACAGATATGATAAAATGTCACAAGATAATTTAGATTTTTTTCGACAAGACCTACGAGAAAGGTCCTATCAGTCGAAGTCATATCTATCACCGTTATCGAGAAAACGATCCCAATATCTAGACCTGTGTGTAACGTTTTTTTGTCAAAGAATGTGCAATGTATATATTTCCTATATAATTTTTTTAGTTTTGTGAATGGTCCAGTAATTTTTTTTTATTTATGATACAACATTCACAAAATTCGCGTCTTGAGAATTACTGAATCCATATAGGAATAAAAGAGTTGCACAATGGAGAGAAATCTGGAAATGCACGAGTAACATGCGAGGATTGTGTTCGCGTCGTAAACACATAATTCATGGTTCTTCGGTCGCAAATCATCGACGATTCTCGAGAGAAACAGCGACACAATCGATGATTAAATTCTGAGAATTATTTTTGGGACTTGCGCCAGCGAGCGTGGGAATGCACGGGCGTTACCAGAAATCGAAAGTTCCGATCACGACAAAATTGAGACGATTGTTATATACGGAATACTATCAAAGTATGAGAAAGAGAAATACCTATTTGAAAGAATGAGTCAGATGGCTTTCTTTCTCTTTACCTCACTATCCAATTTTGTAACGTTCTGTCTACATTGAAAAGTGTATTAAATTTTAATAAATATTTGTTTGAATAGTAAACAAAATATTTACTAAATATAAAAATGTATTTATTTGGTTACAACAATTATTAATTTATTCTCTAAAGTTTCTAGAATAAACTCATTCTGAAAAATTTCACTTTTAAAAATTAAAAATTGAACTACTCTTTTCCAAAATTAATTCAATTTTGACTATTTTAAGTGAGATTCTATTCCAAAGAATTTAGAGAGTGACTATCATTTTTTTATTAAGTAAATATTTATTTACTGTGAATAAATGTTTAATTAGCACTATTAAAAAAAATATGTATTAAAATTTAGTAAATTTTGTTCTCAGTGTACGTCGATGACGTCGTTGTTTTCATCCGAAATTTCCGTCGATGTATTATCTCATCGATGAGCTGAAGGACGGTTATTAACTAAAAGAGCGACGATAAGAAATTCATCGAGCGTGACGTTTGTTCGGTCAAGTATCGATACGTTGACTTGTTCAGAAATAGCTATAACTGTAGCTTCCAAAAATAAACTGTATTATTACATTATATCGATTTTGATTCAATATATGTATTTATTATAATCTTTAAGTACAAATAATTGAACAAATGTTTCATACGGTATTACATCCAAATATTTTGTTACA